AAAAATACAGATGAATGTGTAAAAATAATCGGCCACCAAGGCACTTTATTGATATAGAAAAAGTAAATATAACAATTAGATTATTTTTTTTTCAAATTTTATAGATTTTCTTTTTTTCATTTTTGGTGGTGATGATGATCTTAGTAGAGAAGATACTGTAAAGCTATTTTCTGTATTACTACTTAAACTAATTAGAAGTGCATAATATAGAAGAGATATAAACATACAAGATATTCTATAGTTATAAGTATACATTAATTTTAAGCAAGTGAAATATAAGAATTGCATTTCACATACCCGTATTGTCAATAAAGTTTCAACAAATTTAAATACTGTATTTTCATCTATTGGCTATATTAAAATTTTAACTGTACGTAAATTATAAAATGGTGTATCTCGTTTATACCTCAAATGAGGATATTTAGATGCATCTTAGTTCTGGTGATTTAGATTCCAATAATACCAAAATCATCTTTGTCTGATTTACATCTTTTGTGAGCCTAAAATATTCAATTGTTCATCTCTCTTCAAGTTTTTATTCTATCATTTTCCTTTTTTTGTTCATCATAAATGATACGAAAACTTTCATCATAAATTAATTCATATGACCTATTATTACAACTAATGATAAACATAACATCTGATCATTTTCCAACTTCTCTTCGATCTTTGCTGACTATATTTTGACGCTCAGCTGTAGAAATATAATTAGATTTTCCAATTGAAAGATCTTTTAATGATACTCAAATCATTGGAACTATTATATCAGTCATATATATTCCTTCATTTTGTGACTTAACCAGCTTTGGACTGAAGGTGGAATTTTTTCAAATATCTCTCCTATAAAGAATAATGTTAAACGTAATTTCAAACAGAAATTTTAAGAAATGACAAATATGATTATTAAAACACTTATTGCTGAAATACTTATAAGATATCAAGTATTTCTAATGTAACTTTTGCTAGTTTTTCGTTAGATTCTTTTCAACTTTTATCATGTAAAAGTCTATTATTTGAGATATTTGTAATACTGTCTATGAAATTCAAAACAAAAGAATCACAATTATTTTTGACAAGGTCTGAAGTAGTTACTTTTATACACTTCACCAGATCCTATAAAATCATAATATTAATAAGATATTCTTTGCTGAAAGTGGATCATGACAATACAAAATTCTATTTACTAAATACTCACTATAAAAAAGTTATATGCATCTACTTCTAAAGTTCTCACCATTTCTGAATCTGCACAAATCACTTGACTAGCAAGTGGAATGTGTCATGATAAGTCTGAAGCACTTTTTTTCTTTAAATATTTACGAAAGTGATAGGGATATGGAGCCTTACTATTTTTAAGATTGGTTTTCAACACATGCAAGTTTGTCTCGATTTCGTTCTTAGTAAGCGGTTCTTCCTATTTTGATTCTTTGATACTTCTTAGATTACTTATACCTTCGTATGCATCATTAAACTAGCGCAGAAATCTTATATTAGTACTAATGTAATTAATCTTTTGATATTAGAATCATGTGCACATATCTATCAACATATTCCAAGTAAATCATCAACTATATGTGGCCTACATACAATTGACAATGTACATGAATGCTATATTTTTTTTCTTCATAAATCATAATTAAGATTTACTTCTGTGTATTTAAAGAATTAATGTGTACGATTAAACCTGTGCTCACATGGCTATGGGTATTCACTTAATCTGGTTATAAAAATATCATTCTGTACAATTATCATCTAAGATTATAAATCTGATAAATAATAGTAATAATCACTAACCTTTAAGAGAATATCAACGAGTTTCAGATATTTTTCTGAAGTCTGATCATAATTCTTTTTCACTACTATAATTGTCTGATGAATTATTTCTCTTAACTTATCTTTTGAATATCACGTATTATCTTCTATTAGTTAAAAAATAACAGAAAATATGGTAATATGATTTGAAGGCGAATCAAGTAAAAAATTATAAATATTTTATATAATGCAAAAGAAGACATAATGATGAAAAATATGGTATTAAAATTTTGCTAAAAAAAATAATAAGTAACAAATAATTCGAATTCAATATACCTGCCTTTTTAAATCTCTGATGACTTCTTCATTTATATCCTCTCTAATTCGCATTCATGTTTAGAAAAGAGATAGAAGAAATATGCAAGGTACTTTATGCCTGTGTTAGAGAATAAGAATATGCAAAATATGCATTAAAGATCTCAACATTTACAAAGGTGCTGGGATATGCATATACATACTTTTTTTTTCTTTATTTCACTTGTCCGACCGCTCAGTAATAAAGGCCTAATAACATTATATAAATATACTCTAGTTAAAATCTAGTAGGAATAGCCTCTAGCATTGGAGAAAATAAACTCATAAATAAATGCTATTCAAATAGATAGGGAAAAAATTTGAAATATTTTGAAGACTTTGTCACATAAGCATAATTTCACAGATGATTTGTGAAGTATCACTATTATATCATATATATTCTAATAAGAATCAAAAATGTGTTAATTTATATCACACATGCCTATATGTATTAGCCTTGAGGTACTTTGCATGACTAAATAATATATTATTTTATTAATATGATATTTAAGATCTTTTTCAAAAAATACTTTATTAAAATTGTTATACCAGTATATTGGAGGATCTAATTCTGCAGATCATACATAATGCCTTTGACTAATTTACTAAGTGATCATCTATCATGTAATGCAAAAAATAAATTATATTAGTTAAACTTGTTAAATAATCATGATTTTTATTCTATCTTTCAATATTAACATAGTACCTTTTGGCTGATTAAGATGGTTTAAGTTATTTTGTTTTGTGTATTTAGATGAAATAAGTATTTTGCTTGTATTACTTTGGTAATTTAATGATTAATAAGAAGTTGGTAAAATATTTTCTTGTCTAGCAGGTAAAATACAAGCTAGCTCAAAATTTGGAGCACTTGATATAATATTTTTTACTACAGTTACTTTAGATTATACATAATTTTTATAGTTAGCCGTAAAATTTTCATCATGATCATAAGATACTGATGCCAACTTATCCTTTTCTGAGTGTGAGTTATATTAGGAGAAAAGCTCTAGATGAAGGCGATTAATTTTAGCCTCTTCTTGTAATATGAACTGTTTATATTACCAGATATGAAATTTTCTTTTATTTATAGATTTGAGAATTTCTTCTTTTTTTGCATGTTCATTCGAAATAATATTTCCAGAAATACATCTCTTCAAGTGGCTATCTCGATAATAATTAATTCTACTAAAACCATTTTCAGATATGAAAACTAAGGAATCACATACACTACAATATATGTAATTTGATGGAAGACCATAGACTTTATCATGTTCATATAAATTTCTGTACATTGTAATATATCCATTTTTAGAAAGAATTCTTGGGTTCTCTTCAAGTATTTTTCTAAATAGACTACGAATATGAAAGCACCACATTTCTGGTATTTCATGATCATATCATTCACTTAAAAGACATAATGCTTCTAATATTCTTCTATATTCTTTGAAGTTTACATCACTATAGCCTACAGAAACTAGCTTATATTGGGCTCTATTATCTAAATCTATAATAGTGTTTTAGTAGATTATAACAGATTATAATGATTTTAAAGTATTTTATCGATTTTAGCTGATTTAGCAATATTATACTATAATAAAATCATATTCATTTTTATTAGATTGTTTAGGTGAAAAATTTTTCCTGATGTCATGATTTGGCTAAATTAGATCTGATCACCATAGACAGCTAAATTATGTACAGCATATTTGGCTAAAATTTGTATCATATATGATCTCCCTAGTTCCCTGCCAGTTCCTTGATAGTTCTAGGAGTGTTTTAGAAGCTGGCGAGTTTCTATAAATCATGAGATGATCGGCCCTGTAAAAAAATTATACAGACTATCATATCATTTTGCATGTAGCATACATTGATTAAAATATTAGGAGATTAAAAAAGGAGAAAAGCATAATATGGGAAACTTTATTTGATAAGCACATGTAAAACGCCTTTGGCTAATTCATTGGTAGGCAAAAATAATCTAAAGGGAAGGATTATCAAATATATATTTTTGCGTTTCAAATTCTCTGACAGCCTGTCAGTGAAAATCACGTGACTGTGGCACAATAACTATGCAAATTCTGCTTCAATAGCATCAATGTCATCCTAACTTAGCTTGTACTTTATCAATTGTATCTTATCATACCCGATATCACTAAATAAATCACAAATCTTTCTTCCCCTTTCTATTCTTTTCTCAATGGCATATTTCAAGAGATCACCTAAAAAAATATCCATACTCGAATATTGTTTTATTGATGTAGAGTGGCCGGAGATATGACATGCAAAAATTAAATTCAAATCGAGTTGAAAAAAAAAATAATGGAATATATATGTGCGATTCGCACATCGCATAGCCCCTATTCCTTGGCAAGAATTTGCCGATATCGTACTGCGCATTTCATGACGAAATTTGGATTAGGTGATAGTTCTCCCATTGACCTTCTATACCATTCTTTATGTTTTCGTTTTTTTATGGTTTTATTTAGTTAGTGCAAGTTGTTTAATCCAGGCAATCCCATTATCACAATCCCACCAATCAGCCTAAACTTTAGATCATAAAAACCGTTCCTCAGGGAATGATCAGTCATGTGATTTTTTGACATTTTTTCGCCACAATGAAGATTTGGATTATAGACCGGTCATGGTCGCCTATATTACCATTACAAAAAAAAAGAATTGCAATTGCATTTATATTTTTCACCACATTTGAATGTATACGTGCATTAAAACAAAGGGCAGATTAATAAATGCTTTATTAAAATTTATTTTTTTTATTGATATAAGAGGCAAGCTAAAATAAATGCATTATCTATTTTGAAATAATAAAACCTAATCGGCATAAATTATCATTGATTTCTCCGCTTTTTCCACAAATATAATTATCTATAATACTTTCATTCTTGCTTGTTTTCCATTTCTTCAAATGCAATCATTAATTGGAAAGAAACATTTTTTTTCGGTGTCCACCATGGATCATGAATAAAAGTTGATTTGTAATGCAATGATCCATGATTGATGACCTTGACATTGAAAACATCATTGAGTGAATTATAGCCGTGGTCTAGTTCATAAAGCATGTCATTGACTTCTTCATACATTTCCTGTTGAAATGACATGTTAGATCTTTTGATGCCCAAAAAGCTAACCCACACTACATATTTCCATTATTCCATAATAATAATACTTACCGTTGCATATTTAAAAATTTTCACCGTTGACTTTAACTTTTTAATGTGGGCCAATTTTGTAGGAATCTCAAATGTTGCCCCCGGAAAAACAACATAAAAGCCATTTATTAAGTCTAATAATAACATCTGCCCGTAAACACCAGAAATTTGTAAAAAAGGAATCTTTGTTTTTTTCACTTGTTCCTTAGTTAAATTTTAACCTCAAAATGGCATTCAATATTGATTGATTTACTCTGGAAGACCGACAGCGATCTCCAATCGCTTTTGTATTAGTACAATGCGCGGAAAATTCCCACTCACTGAGGTCTATCCTTGAAGAACTTAGGAATCAAACGTCACACTTCCGTCCTTTTTCATAACTTATGGATCTACTCATAGGACAGAAAGATTCTTCCCTGTGCATAAATTTATGAATTTATACATTAGCTAGAATCAAAAAACCAAAAAAAGTATGCTTAATTACCATTTGCAATTTATTCCAAGGCCTTTCCTCAATCCTTCCACGATATAAGAGCATCCTTTTACGATAATATCTATTTCGGTGTATCCCTCTCCACAGTCTAGCAAATCATCACCATCTTTTACTTTGAAAAGACTATATAATCAGGTAAGAAACAAATCAAGACAAGCTACAAATATTAAATACAAATAAAGTAAATACATACAATTCACTGTATATCTTGCTTATTTTGTAAATGCAAGTATTGATTGGTGAGTTGATATGCTTCTCAAGACAAAATTTATATGCCTCATAAGATCTTCCCTTCTGTACCATCTATGTATAAAAATAGAAATCTTTGTAAGTTGAACTAACTATACATAATACACATTCATAAATGTACCTTTTCAACGTCCGCGATGAACGCGTTCACCTCTTCATCTAATGCAGGAACCGTTAAGACTGCTATATGATCTTTCATCATATGCTGAATATCAATGTCGGAAAACCAAGCCCGCATATGCGCTGAGAGATCTATGAGATTTGACATACCATATCTCAAGGTGGCTCTCTCTACCGGACTTAGTGTTTCCTTTTTTTTTAAGACTTCTGCACATTGAGATATATTTACAGCATAAATTTCTTTGACAGATCTCCCCGAAGGAGATCCCATTGTTGTGTATTATTTGGCACAGAGTTTAGAATATGGTCTAAATCAGGGATTTCTTCGCCGTCATCATCATCAGATGTCACTTCACTTACTTGTGAAGAAAAGCTCGCTTCGCCACTGTCACTTTGTGGGATGAAGTTCGGCGGTGGTGGTGGCTTTGATAGTATTGTACCATCAGGAAGGATATTTCCAGAATCCGTAGCGATTCTCTTATTCTCGCTTTCGGAGTGAGAGGTTGACTTCCGCTTCAAAGCTTATTATAAAGAAAAGGTTAAATATATAATTCAACGGTACACATTATAAATAAGCTTGAATACATTACCAGGTTCTATAGTTTCTCGCGTGGTATTGGATAGTGCTTCACTAAAGTCGGAATGTAAGTTTAACATATGATCAATAATCTTTTGAGAATTCAAAGTCGACGCTCTTTTTAGTGTTTTCATAACTCAAGATTTATTTTTCAAGAAGGTTCTTATTTCGGGTGAATCCTTTTCTTGCTAAAGTATGTATAAAAAAAAAGAACTTGCTATAACACTTTTGGACGCAACCAAAAAGTAAAGTGCACCCGAACCACCCAAAATGAGACGCAACCCTGGGACTTTCGACTCATCGATCGGGAATTCAGACTCAACCTAGCACTTTAAGCAATTAACAACGAGACTATAACAAAGCACTTTCTCAGACTCGACTAGAGAAAGATTCGGACGCGACCTAGCCTCGCTATGGACTCGAAACAAACGAAACAAGACAAAACATAACAGACAGAAAATAGAAGTTTCAAACCTCAAATGAATTCAAACATTGCGATGTCAGTTGTTGGACGAAATTCCTGTCACGAGAATTTAGAAAATGTGGATTACGATGTAGCTGTTCTAAACAAATTTTATATACTCTGCTCCTCATCCTTTTTTTCGAAATCTTTTACAAAAACAATGCTCCACTGTAAGAAATCTATCAAGCTCCATTTTTCTTTGTTTAGGAAATAAGGAAGCCTGGACTTCCAACGCGCATTTTCATCAGTCATGTTTGTATGTTTGTATGAAATAAGCAAGTATCGCGTAGCTTTTTATCAAATTTTTCTGATGCCACACCAAATATGCCAAATCAGATTACTGTGCCAGACGTTTACAAGCCACAATTTTACTGCGCTGATTTGACACGTGCCAAGAATCACGCAATGCGATTTATATAAGAACATGCCTGACGTTTTCTTAGAATCATCTCTAATTCTTTGGGAAATAAACTCGTTTGTTTGATTAATGATATCGATGATGAAATAATGGTAAGCTTGATTAGATATACTTCGTTTGATTTCTTTTTGCTTTACTTGCACAAGGCGGATAAAAGGATTCACTAACTAAGGCCTCACCTTTTTATATTATTTGTAGTGCATCTAAGGATCGATTTTTGGAATAAATCTTACGTTATTATGACTCATCACGAAAATCAGATCAATGGATACTCCTTAAATTTACAATAGACACTATAGACACTGGAATCGTGTTCCCGGGTCTTTTTTATTATTAATACTATTAATACATGTAAAGGCTTGAGTATATGCGGAGGTTTCGAGAATAAATTATATAGTATATAGTACAATGATCTGTTCCTGTAATCCACTGTACCTTGGTTGTTTTTTGAATGAAACTGCGCATTTCCGGATCCTCGGATAATCTCTCAACAGATACTAGATATTGATATGTACTTAAATGCACCTTTCTTTATTGATTGAAAACAATAAAAAAAATCATATTGCAGTTTATACTACGGAATAATATCTTGACTATCAATCTGACATTTACCATGCAGATACCAATGCTTTTTCTTCGGAACAATGGCTATGATCGCGAACTTAAGTTTATTGCTTGAAGTGTTGCAGGTAAGATAATATTCCAACTTATCTTGGGATAGCAACTTCGCTAATTCAGGATCATAAGGGAAAAGATTCCCATTTTCGCAGTACCATGAGCCATGTAATCCATAATTCTCATGTTTTCCATTGCTAATAGGACATGGTGAGTTCCACGGTTAAAATGATGCAAAATTATAATTATCAATCCCTCTGAAACTATTTCAGAATTTCAGGTATGTGAAATGTTCTAAGACAGACTTGATAATTAATTCTGAATCAGGTTTGGCTTTGAAAGTGATGGGTCCATTTTCTTCACATTGCTCAGGAAAAGATAAATAGGATGCTTTGTTTTCTGGTTTCAAATTTTTGAGAAGGCTAGCTTCTGATGCATGCGCTTCTGATAATTGCCATAGATCATATCCAGTTTCTTTTTTATATTTTTTGTATAAGTTGAACTGAATCTTATCCGTCAAAACGCATGATAAACCAGTTAATTTGGCAAGCTAATCCAGATACTCAGGGGTTAATACTTTATTGGACTTGCTCATATGGGGTCTTTGCAATAGAAAGGGGGGAAACTCCAAAAAAATTAAAATTTTAGTTTATAAGCCAAAAATGTTCTAAATACTATAATTTGTTCAGATTTATTATTAACTCATTTTTTATTTTTTTTTTTTTGAGTTTCCTCCTTTTCTATTGCAAAGGCCTCATATTGCCTTTTTATATGATTACAGATCAATTTAAATTCATGGATAGAAAGCTGTTTACTATTTCTTATCATATTTCCAAAAAAATAATTAGATCATCTTTTGAAGTATCTATGATAAAGATGGTTCCCATAATTATTTTTAAATTTCAATTGAGTTGCAACTTAATTGTGCTATAAGGAAATTTAATTACGCCACAAGTTGCAACTCAGTTGCAACTCAATTGCATTATTTTTTTATTACGATGACCATCTTTAATCTATGATATAAGAAAGGGGTAATGAGATTATGCAGTTATCTTAATTTCACGTTATTCACATTTAATAAAGTAAAATACAGATTTATACATACCTTCTATATTTTTCTCGTCATCATGATCTAAATTGCATAATAAGCATAATGTCTCATCAGTAATGCCATAATAATCAAAATTTTTACTACTAAATTCTCTATATAAAGCAGAATATAGTCTAATATTTTGTTGCGAAAATAGAAGCGGTCATAGAGTGGACTTTTGAATTGAGATGAAAGTAATATATTTGCCAATATACTTACCTTAGCCTTAATCTGATCGTTTTCTGAAGGAACAGTTTTTAAAATCACATGACTCTGATGTTCGCTAGTATATTTTTTACTTGATTTATGATATTTTGGATTTGTGCGTTAGTTAGTTTTAAAATTTCATTTGCGCTATATGAGACCAGCTTAATTTTATCTATTCCAACCCCATTTTTCTCAAATAACATGAGATGTTTTCTAGCCCTATGAGTTTTTGCGCAAGTTAGCTTATGTAATTTTAATAAGAAGAAATAGTTTCGTTTTCTTGTAAATTATTGATCTTGCCATTTTATCCTTAATTCTACCATTAGCCGTAAAAGCATCTACCTTATTCTCAAATTTAAAGGAATAATTATGCCAATCTAATATTTCCTGTTGACTGAATTTTATTGCTATTTCAAATAAATAAGATAAGTGCTAGATAGAACCTAAAATCATATTCTCTAAACTAACATAAGAGCTGATTATTTCAATATTATCTTATTCATTTGGGTCCTCTTCAGGTGATATAGGTACATATAATTCATGTATTAGACCTTGTTTTACAATTTAATTTTCATCAAGTGATTCCTCTTAAATCATATTATTGTCTTGCTTCACAGATAGTTCATCTGAAGTCATATGACTCTGATCATTCCCTGAGGAAACAGTTTTTTTAAACTCTTCTAAAATTTTTGAAATTACCTGATTGTCTTTTTCAGAGTTATATGATAGGCTAGCAACTGTCAGGTCTTGAACAATCGATTCACGTTGAAGTTTCTCTTCTTGTTTTCTTTGCCTTATCTCATCACTAACCTTTTTCTTATTCATATTATCCAAGAAAGCATCCATTTCCCTTTCCTCTGATATTTTAGAACTGACAGGTATATTTGATACTGCAACATTTATTTTGCATATAGGCTTACATTATTTAAACTGAGAATCAGATATATTGGCAGGTGATATTTCTGGTGTTGGTTCTTCAGGTAATAAAGTATCCATTTTTTTATCTACTAATGGCTTTTATAATGCATTACTATAGGTAATTGCTTTATAACTAAATTGAATTTAGACAAACTGTTATTAAAAGAATTATCATTTACTATTAAAGTGCTTTGCAGAGTCTGCTTCTATTCCACTTTTATGATTCTATCTCCAAACTCAGATTCCATCTCTTTAATTCTGGTCTTAAGATTAGCATTTTCAGTATCACGTCTCTTATTATATTCCGTATTTGATCTTAGAGTCTCTACATTCCTATGCTTAAATTCAGCTATTTCAGTATCAGAGACTGAGAGCTTAAATCTAAGATTATAGATCTTAGTATTCTCATTCCTAAGCTCTGCATTCTCAACCTCAAGCTTATCATTCTTAGCTTTAAGTTTAGTAATACGCTGTTTCAATACTTCAAGCTCAGATGACATGATCTATATATAACTAATACAATGTATATAAGCATTTAAACTAAAAAATATGTGATTCAAAAAAAAATATTTAGAAATGATTATTTGTCTACAAGTTTCAGGACCTTTATTTTTGATATCATTAAGCAAATATACCATTCTTTTTGTAGTTAATACCTGACGTAATATTACAACTGATCTATAGCTTAACCATTTCTTTTTTACTCTCACCTATTTAAATAATGAAATCAGCTATGCGTTGATCTATCTTATTTCTAAAATATTGTATTTTAGAAATAAGATCAACTTGAATGGATAATTTACAAAATGCCTTTATACCAAAGAGTTCTCTCATTAAAGCATGATATGCTTTTTCTTTTAGATTATCACATTGGTTTTCAAGCTTAATCGAAAAATTAATAAAGTTATTAATTCAAGGCATATTTTTTCGATCATATGATAATATTTCGTGAATTTCATTAACTACTAGATCTTAACGAATAAGTTCTCATAATTCTGTATCTATTACTATAAGATATCTTTTATTCTTTTTACGAACTATACTCTTGACTTTAGAAGAATGAATTCAATATTATAAAATATGTGACATAATTGCTGCAGAGAAGAATAAATAACATTTTACTATACACGATATCTAAGCCATTTACATAATTTGAAAAAAAATAAATAATCCAATTGAGCTTCTTATTTTTTTGTATCAATTCCTCAACTCTAACATCACATCTAGTATTTCCCTCTATAATCTGCTTTAGAAACTTAGCTTTTTCAGTCTCAAGCTTGATAATACGTTACCTCAATAAATCTATTTCAGATTGCATATTAACTTACTATAATATTTTTATACTCGATACATTAGTATTCAAATCAGTAAAAAATGTAGGTTATATCAAAATCTATTAATCACGGTAATGGGTTTTGCCAAGAAAATTTTACATGATCTACTTGTAATGCAAAAAAAATCTAATTAATGATTATGCAAAACACCTCTCAACCGTTCTAAACTAGCTAGATTATTCAGACTCTAATTCAATTTCAGAGCTAGAAGATTCTGAGTCAGAACAGTAATAATCTTTATCAAAATTTTTGATATAAATATTTGGATTTAGTTAATCCATGGCTTTTTTGCTAATATTTTCACATCTTTCCAAATCTAGAAATTTTAAATTAAGACATGAACGAGCAATTTTTTTGATAGTCATACTAGTAATATTACAATATCTAAAGTTAAGATACTGAATCTTCAGGCAGGAAGTGCCCATGTCTAAAACATATTAGCTAATCTATATTTTTTATATCACAGAAGACACATCTAAATACAAAAAAATCTTCTGAGCTAATAATCACCGCTTTGAATTAGTTAGATCAGTAGAGTTTCACCATTCTATTTGATCGTTGAGTAATCTATCAACTATCATAAATATATTAGAATTAGGTTGTCAGAATCTCTGGTGAAACTGAGTTCTAATATTAGCAACTGGAGACTGTATTAATATTAGCTCAAACA